AATCCTAATCCTTATAACTATACTAGTAGTTCATCTTTTTGTTAGTTTGTACTTTGCACAATGACATACCCAAACCAATGAAATTATTATTCTTTCTTTCATATTTTAGTTGTTCATAGTAATATATAAAATTGAAAATTCAATTGTCTTTCGTGTAAAATTATAGAATCCTCACCTCTTAGTGCGATAATTGCATGTAATATATTGTGGATTACATGTAAATAAAATACACTGAGAGAAACCACTGTGAGTGTCCTTGTAATTACATGAAAAATACAATTAATTCCATGTAAATCAATAGAGAAAAAAATTTACAAGTATGGTTAAGTAATAATTTACATGTAATCTCTAGCAAATTACATGTAAACCTGTCACATAGAAAGGAAGGCCTAGTCAATTGCTAAGAATTACATGAAAATGACTACGGATTACGTGTAAATCAATGATGAGAGAAAAATCTCGAGCATGATTGAGTAACAATTTACTTGTAATTCGACATGGATTACATGTAAACTTGTCAAACAAAAAGGAAACCCCCTGTTAGTCACCAAGAATTACATGAAAATGAATACAGAATACATGTAAATGTCACTAGTATAACAAAAGGCAAAACCTTGCACCCTAAGGTAGAATCCTCATATTTAAGTCAAAAGCTTGCACCCAAGTCAGAAGCCTTACACCTTAGTCAAAACCCTCACACTAGTCCAAAATTACATGAAAATGCCCAAAATTACACGTAAATCAATGTTGCCATTATACAACACTTAACCTTTACATCAAGCTAGAAGCCTTGCACCTGAAGCTAGATGGCTTGCACTTAAGTCAGAAGGCTTGCACTTAAGCCAGAAGTCTTACACCTCAAGATAAAAAGCCTTACACCTTAGGCCAGAAAGCTTGCACCCAAGCCAAAGTTAAGGTGCAAGCCTTCTAGCTTAAGGTGCAAGCATTCTAACTTTAGGTGTAAGGGTTATGTGTAATATGATGACAATATTGATTTAGATGTAAACCCAAGGCATCTTTATGTAATTTTGCTCTTGGTGCAAGCCTTATGACTTTGTGTGCAAGGGTTTTGGCTTAAGTGTAAGCCTTCTAACTTAAGGTGCAAGGGTTCTGGCTTAAGTGTAAGCCTTCCCACATAGGGTGCAAGCCTTTTGGCTTCGGGTGCAAAAGTTATATGTAGTGTAACGGCAATATTAATTTACATATAAACGTAAGGCATTTTCATGTAATTCGACTTAGGGTACAAGCCTTCTGGATTGGGTGCAAGCATTTTAGCTTCAGGTGCAAGCTTTTTGGCCTGGGTGTAAGCATTTTAGCTTTAGGTATAAGCCTTCTAGCTTGGGTGCAAACATTCTAGCTCAGGGTGCAAGCCTTTTAGCCTAAGGTGCAAACATTCTGGCTTCAAGTGCAAGTGTTATGTGTAGTGTAATAGAAACATTGATTTACATGCAAACCTAAGGCATTTTCATATAATTCCGCTCTAATGCAAGTCTTTTGACTTAAGGTACAAGCTTTCTAGCTTAGGGTGCAAACGTTATAGGTTGGTTGATTTACATGTAACCAGGAGTTGTTTTCATGTAATTATGGCTTACTGACAAGGGTGTCCTCTCCATGCCATCAATTTACTTGTAATCCTGATTTATCTACATGTAATTCTAGGCCACCCATAAGGGTGTGCAATCTATGTGTTTCATTTACATATAATCCACCAAGGATTACATGTAAATTGCCCATGAGGCATGCACAAGCATTTTTTCCCTGGACTAATTTACATGTAAAATGCAGTGATTTTCATGTGATTCTGGGCAATCTACAGGGCCGTGCAATCTATGTGTTTCATTTACATGTAATTTGCTAGGGATTACACGTAAATTACTCATTAAGCATGCTTGTGTATTTTTTTCCCATATTGATCTATATGTAAAATGAAAGGGTTTTCATGTAATTCTGGCCCACTCAAAGGGGCATGCAATCTATGTGTTTCATTTACATGGAATTTACTAGGGATTATATGTAAATTACTCATTAGGCATGTTTGTGCATTTTTTCCTTGGATTAATTTATATGTAAAATGTTATGGTTTTCATATAATTTTAAGATGCAATCAGTGAATGATCCTTGTGTTTTCATTTACATGTAATCCATTAAGGATTATATGTAAATTACTCATCAGGCATGCTCATGCATTTTTTTCCCATCTTCATTTACATGTAATCAGTGATGGATTACATGAAAATCAATATAAACTATTCCTCATACATGCTCACAAGTTTTTCCTATATTGTTTTACATGTAATCCACGGTATTTTACATGAAAATTAGGATTATTGACAGTTGAATTTACATGAAATTAGTCATTATAAGAGCAAAATTTTTAAAGAGTAACATAAGAGGCAAAATTGTATCCACATTTGGTATCATAAATATGAGAATGTTAATGTATATACACAAAGTGTATACATTGAATAATCTATACCAAGATGTGTCTAACAACATTTGTACATTGAACAATCTATAACAACATTTGTATGAAAGCATAACAAATGATGTCCTACTAAACCATTAGTGATAGGAAGCATTGAATTTAGAAGGCATAAGGTCATGTCCCTTTTCAGGAAAGCATAACAAAACCAATGATCATCTTTACATGCAGGCACAAAAATGATCTCACAAAATGACAAATCATATTGGGATCAGTTAGAGTCAATCAATCTTTTGAAAAAATTACTCTTAACAAACTTCCATATAAAGCATAGTTCCTTTGGTGCATTTGATGTCAATGAGCTTGCCAAAACTGATTGTGTTAGCCCTTACAATTAGATTTTTACTTTGCTTGACATGTTGAGCCACTTTGATAAATTGCTTAAGCGAGCAACACATAAGCAATTTCTCTTTTAATGCTTCATTAGATGAAGTCGCGCATGCACTACGATGCCTTTCATCTTCAACCATTTTGTTGAACTATTTCCTTTCTTTTTTAGATAGATTCTTCCAATCCTCTCTTGCTTCATTTGCAGCATTTTTTTGACCCTTCACCTTGCCTTTATTTTTAACTCATGTAAATAAACATGCAATCCATTAAGCCTTGAATGACATGCATCCTTTTCCTTAACCCCGATTGCCAATTGTCAATGTATAGAGTACAAGTCTTACATAATTGTATAAGATAAGGTCAGGTATTACTTGACATTGAAGACAATTCAATGACAACATAATTGTGTGTTTTGTGTGTGTTAACATGATCATAGGTAGATCTGGTAATTTAAGCAAGGTGAGCTTATTTGGGTCAAGCTTATTCAGAATGGGATTAAAATATGTTACCCTTTTAAAAAAGCCCATATTGCTAAGCCTGACCCTAACTTTGTTTGATTGGGTTCGAGCTGGCCCGTTGGGCTTGTCAAAATAACCAACTCATATACATATAAAGCTGGGAATTCTAGTGGTCCAACTTATTCGAGATGGGCTTAATTCAGGTCGGGTTTAAAAGTATCATACCCTCTTTAAAAAGCTCATATAGCTAAGTCCGACCCTAACTTCTATCCAATGTGTTTAGACTTGGCCTATATTATCGGCTCTAATCATAGGCATGTAACTGTCTCGTTGGCATGTTGACATGATCACATATAATTTTACATGGTGTCACACAATGGTTAACATAGAAGGTAAGTAAGAGTTCTATGTGTTAACAAGAATATACCAGTTATGTCTCTTATAAAGGATGATTAAATTCTACAAAAGACCACCATTTTAACAGTTTAAAGAGGAGCCACTATAAGTAAATAAAGAGAGTAAGCTAATAAGCTTGTTTCAGAGTTTGTTGCAAACAACATCCCAAGGAATATTCAATTAGCAACAAGAAACAATAAAATGTTAGTATCATCAATAAGATACAATATAGGAAAACCCTCCCAAAATTCTCATATTATGCCAGATGAAATATTGGCTTCTTGCCTAAATGATTCAGTAAAAAGTGATTCTCATTGAATTGAAAAGGAACCCAAAATGATCTTTTATCTTTGACATCTTTTTTACTAATAAGAAAGGGCACATAAGCAAACTATAACTTAGGGAATGTGATTGCAATTACTCTACCTAGTTGGACTTCTAATTTTTTAATTTTATACTTATCACACTATTCATAACCTTTGATATTCTCATTCTACAGGTATTTATACACTCCATATACAACTGTTCCAGCAACAAGCATAGAAGCTTGTATTAATTTTACATGAAAATCTGTACACTTAATATGTAATTCCGCATACCCAACTCTGTTCATGGATTATTTTACATTAAATTTTTAAAGAGCACTAGGTTCAGGCAATTGCATATTTAAGATCAATTTCAAATACGAATGAGTTTATCCGACATGAAGAATAGAGGAAGTAACTTAGAATAAAAGGAAATCTACTAGTTGGAACAAAATCAAAGTTTTGACACACAATACATACTTTGTTGTTGTTTCTTAGGCCGCCAACACTCTAAAGTAGCTCAAAACTCATTGCTGAAGACTCGTCAGTCAAAAATTGTCCGATAAAGGCACTATGCAAAGAGAAATGGTTATCTTTCTCAAAACTCATTGTTCACAATTCGCTCACAACTCACACAACCATTGATAGTCTCTCGAAAACTTTCCTCACTGTCTTTGTTTTGAAATTGCTTTATTATGATAGAGACATTTTAGTTCAACCAAAATTTGTTAAATGAATAAACTATTAAGTTTCATCCTTCAAAAACATTAATCTTTAGAATCAATTTTCTTTCCAACCTAATCCTTTTCACCCAATTTTTCCAAATTTAATCAAGAATTTTGATGTTACAAAAGCAAATTAAAAAAAAAAAAAAAAACAAGTAGAATGTCACTGAAATGCCATTATCTCACATCGTTCACGATAGAAAGCAAATGTTTTCCATGGTTCAGGCCTCCCCGGAATAACTTTTTTTTTTTGTTTTACTGTAACAAACTTTTTTACGCACCCGTGCATGGGGGAAAATAGTAGTATTAGAATATATTATATATTATAATATAATAGAACACCAATCTAACGAGAACCTAGTAAGAAAATGTATTTGATGCCCCTATCGTTCAATCACACGTCTGCTATTCCTAAATTCACCAAAATCCTTCTCATCCATACGATATTTGTTAAACCGTCCTCCTTGTTTTTCAGATTGTCCTCCGCGAGATTTGTTCAAGTATGGTGTGCCTTGCTTCCTGCCTTCCCCCACCTGCCAGTTACGGCCTTTTCCTTTAGACTCTCTTCTGTTACCATAAGACTGCCGGGATGATCCTTCAAAGTCATCACTGAACAAGTTTGCTCGGTGAGAACCATTAGACTTGGGCTGTCTGTCTCTACTGAAGTTTCTCCTTCCGGAAGCGTGCTTGTTCCCATTATTTCGTCTTGAAGCATATACCTCGTTTAAATCCTCATCCTCATCAGAGTAGAGGCCACCTACATAGTCTTCATCAGTATCAGAACCAAAGCTTAATTTCTTGGTTTGACCTTTGCCTTTGCCTTTTTGTGCAGTACCGGAACCGCGGCCTGATTTAAATTTAGAATGAATGGACCGTTGTTCTTCCAAATCAAAAGTGAGATCATCATCCTCAGAACCAAAGCTTAATTTCTTGGTTCGAACCCTACCTTTGCCTTTCTGTGAAAAACGACCAGACTTAGAATGAATGGACCGCTGTTCATCTGAAGAGTCCTCAAATTCTGAAAAATCATCTTCAGAAGTTTTCGCTCCAGCACTATCATTGTGCTCTAGCTCATAACTATCTATATCATCTTCATCCTCAAAATCATCAAATCCTAGTCCAGGCCTATCAAGACTGGGATTAGAATATTCTCCACCACCAGATCCTTGCACTCTATCAGTTACCTCAAATTCACCTTCATGCCGTCCAAAATTCCCATGCTGAGCCTGGGTATCTGAAGGAAAATCTTCATCTATTGCATGAGCATCTGCATACTCAAAAGCTGCAACATCTGCACCATCTGATTCATCATCATCAAAATCAAAATTCCATGCATTGGAAACGTCCCGCTGGCTGGACATCCTATTATCCATCCCTGGTTTGGAAGTACGCTGTTTATCTTGAATTTTATTCTCCAGAAATTCATCAGGTGGGCGTTTACACTCACAATGAAAGCATGCCATGTTCCTCCTGTAATTCAAGAAGTTGCACCTGCCAGAGAAAAATAACATAAGTAATGCCCAAAATATTTCAGTAAAAGATGCTCGAAGAGGATATAAACAACTGTTCAAAGGGATTCCAGCTTAACACCAACCGTGTCAAGAGTTAACAGTTCTAAAGTTGGACGTGATACTTACAAATGGACAAAATCTAAATATAAGGACCTAGGAATACATCCCATTGGATTCAACTACAGAAAATAAGCAATTTCTTTGGGGGTAAACAGTGCGAACTCAGAAATCACATCAAAAAGTTGACACCAGCATCACTGCAGTACTTGTGTAAACAATTCGAGCTTATAAGCGAATGTATTATAATATCACTGGATAAATAACACTTAATGATATAAAAAGTAGCTTCACAACAAGGTGACAAACTTCATAAAAAATAAATGCAATCATTATTGCTTAGTAGATTTGCCTTGTGCACGTGGGATTGTGGAAGTGAGAGGAAGGGGAAGAGGAGTGGACAGGAGTTCAAATATTGGACTTAAACACTTACTCAGGACATTCCCATTCTCCTGGCAACAACTGTCTTTTTGGACGTTTGGCATCGCACTGTAAGCAAACAGTATTCTTTGCAAAATTCATGAAATCACACCTGTAAAAGTCAATGATCATATTAACTCAACAAAAGGGCATATAAACTATCGAATAATTGACAAATTATACAAGACAGCACCCCTGTTTATATCCAAGACAAGTCTAAAATTAAGGTAATCCTGTACTAATGACAATGCTTATCACATCCCAATGATTGTGCACACTAAAAGTACAGAGACATTATTCACATAAATCGTTTCTGTTCTATAACATAGACCATCCTCACATGACTTTGTGCACAAATGCTATAATTATACACATAAGCAGCATGCCCAAAACAAGTTAGCCGGTTCACAGGAAGTACCAAACATATTAAATTCGCAACAACAAATTCTTCAATGGAAATGACACGCAGCTATTTGGTAAAACTATCAAGTATTTATTACTGCAAAAAAGTCGTGGGGAGTTTTGAAGCACATACTTTGGACAAAGCCAGTCTCCTTTTTTCATTTCAACATCATCTCGTCCAACACGTTTCTTTGGAGGAGGAGGAGGTTGCTTCAGTTTTGGTGGGGGCTTTTTGATGACAGGAGGGGGCAGATTTGGATCTATAGGAACTGAACTCAACTTCACAACCTCATGAAGCAGCTTACGGACTACAGTTTTCACACACTTTTGCTTTAGAAGTGACCTAGTGACGGATGATCCATTCACAGGATCAAAGCCAAACATCAACAAGACCCGCATGACATCAATGGTCCGTGCCTCATCCTCTTTGTTTGTAAGCAGATACGCCCTTTCACAAGAGCTTCTCAAGCTGCAGGAACTACAGACCTGATAAGAATGAATTGTTCATCATAAACATACAAAATGCAATGCTGTAAAACTATGAATAACATAAACTAGGTATTGGAGAATGCAAATCAGATCTATATTCATGCATCAGCCATCCAGAAAGAGAGAGATATGACATCACATGGGGTCCGCATTCCATCTTCCTAATGATCTCTCTCTTTCTCCCTCCCTTAATATTCCATATGCACTCATTTTTGTGAATGAAATAGCTTTCAAGTTTCAAGATCAAACAACATCCCCTTGCTCTTACCTGTCTACGTGCAGTATGGTAGTGAGCAAGTCAGACTATGATATTATCAAAATTCACGGTAGACAAATGGACAGACAATGAATCCAGAAGCAGCTAAAAAATAAAAAGTTGCGGGGCTGCAGGGGTCAAGCATAATGTAACATATTGTGTTAAACACTAGACTAAAGCCTCTACGCTTACATCTCCTTCATCAAGGTGGACAAGCTTCCTTAGAAGTTTAGCAGAGAAAACCACTTTTCCATCTGCAGTTGGGCATCCGAAACCAACCAGAATTTGAATGTCTTGCCTCGACAAGGACCTGGAGTCAATCCCTCATAATTCAGCAACTATGATAGAGAGCAGCATTTTGGAAGTTATAATCACATCAACAACATCCCCATAGATAACAAAATAAAGCATTTTTTATTTTAACATTATTCTCACAGTTCAAAAACACATCTTTTTGCTCTGAATACCTTTTATCCCTTCTTCTTTTTCTTCAAGTTTATCCTTTACTTATTCTTCTATTTAAAAGAAAAGGTGTGGGGAGTTGGCTGGGGTTTCAACCTGACTGAAGAACAATCAGAGTTTTGCAGGACTGAAATATATGAAAATCGGATATTACCAATACCGTCTCACACATTTTGGCAACTCAAAGATCACTTCGCATAAAACATGACAGTTAACCCAAATTACCCGACCCATATCAAGGTTTCCTCGATAAAAATAGAAGAGACACGGAAATACAAGAGCAGAGCCACCCCAGAAGATCCCACGCCAGACAAAATCAAGTGGCTCCTTTGAAGAAGTGTTAAATCACCAAAACAAAAACCCTTTTTCCTTGCTCTCTATAAAGCGACATATGTATAAACGAACCTTAATATGTCGAAACGGTCTTTCCCAAAATTGAGGCAGGCGGTTTGCACGCTCTTGAAATCCTTAATGAAATCAAGTCCCGCATCATCTGCCAGCCCGGCACAATCGAACCCCAAATCCTGAACCAGTTTATCCTCGTCCCTTCTCCTATGATCAAAATAATTCTGCTGAACCAACCTCTGCATCAATTCGATCCACTCCGGCCACGGGTGCAACACCTCAACCTCCTTCTTCGCCAATTCACCACACTTCGCTGCCCCCCTCGTCGCCTCCAACTTCGACTCAGATAAACCGGCATCGATGGGATTGGGGTTGACATTAGCTGCAGATCCTATTTCTGATTCTGGTCCCTTAGTGTCACTGGGCGGCAACTGCGTCTTCTTAGACTCTCGCCAGGCTCGAATTCGTTGAAGAGTTTGGTGCTTTTGGTCGCGTTCTTTCTCAATGGCGTCGATTTGATCAAAGACGAAGCTAAGACGGGCAGAAAGGCTAGTGGGCTTGGGATCAGTGGCAGGGTCTTGAGAAGTTGAATAGGATTTAGACGTCAGAAGCTCGGAGAGGTAGAAGGAGCTTGTAGGTGCAGGGGGTTTAGGGTTCAAGGGAAAGAGAGAGATGCGTCTGATGAGCAGAACAGAGAAAGGGCGGTAAGCCATTAAGATTGAAATGACGATCATGCATTACCAGGCAGAGACAGCCCGTGATAAAACTTAAACCCTACGGGGTCTTTGCCCCGACAGGCGTTCGAGCGCCCAGCATCGGGATTTTTTTGCCCGATAGAGCATTTATAAATTAAGTTTTTCTTAGCCAACGTTTATAAATCAAGTGGCCTTTCTTTTTCTTCAAGAAATTACTTTTGTTGTTGTTGCTGCTGGCTAGTTACCGCCATTCAAGTTAACTGATGTATGTTTGGATGACATCCCTGCGGAGGTTGGGATGGACCAAATTTAAGTTGAGATATTAAAAACTTAAAAAATATTGTTTGAATAAAAATGGGTTAAAGTAACAACTTTAGTATATATTATTTTTTAAAGAGCATTTAATAACTTAAATTATTAAATAGTGTAAAATAAATTATTAATTTTTAAAAATAGAACATTTAATAACCCATATTAACTTCAATTGACGGATGTTATGTGAAGCCACAATGACACGTGGCATGACACAAACATGACACGTCAACATGATAAAAGTATAAATTTAATTATGAACTATTTTTTAAAAAACATTAGGCAACGTCTGCTATAAAAAACAGATCATCCAACATTTTCTCCTCAATTTTGACTAATGCCATTTATTTTCATACTTACAAGGTTCATAAAGCATCAATCTCTTCAATCTTCTTGTCTTCATTCTCAACATCAGCTTTAGAAGAAAAGGTTCCAAGAATTTTTGTTTAAAAATATTCAAAAAGACAAGCCAATGAGATAGAAGCTTAATTTTATTACACATGAAAAAAGCTTGATCTAACTTAATTTAGCCACAAATTATTTTTTCTACTTTGTTAGTATTGCCTTTATGAATGTCTTCAGATAGTAACTTTTTAAATCTTTTCTTTTCAAGCTGAGATTGAGAATTAAGGTAAGAAGATTGGAGAGATTTATGCTTTGTGGGCCTCATAAATATAAAAATAAATGATTTTTGATCAAAATTTAGAAAAAAGTGTTGGATGATCCATCTTTTTATAGTAAAGATTATTTGGTGTTCCTTAAAAAATAATTCATAATTAAATTTGTATTTTTACCATGCTAACATGTGCCACATGTCATTGTGAGCAATACATAAAGTCTATCAACTAAAGTTAACAGTAGGTTATTGAATGCTTCATTTTTTAAAATTTGTGATTTGTTTACATTATATGATAGTGAAGCTGTCAAATACTTCTTAAAAAAAAATATATGGCCAAATTTATACATTTATCCTAAAAAAGATTGTAACTAAGGTAGAAGGCAAACGCTTGTTTGGTGTGAAGCCATCCCATTAAAAATGGCTTTTGAAATGTACCGGCGGGAAAAAACATGAGAGAAGAAAGAGAAAGCTAGGACAATGTTACCCAGATTTCGATATAACATGTGTTTGGATAATGTTTTTAATTGATTATTTGATAGAAAATCGATTACAAAATGAAAATCATCCAAACACTCACAAAATGAGTTAATTGATTTTTGGGTTAAAAATTAATTTTCTTCCAAAGCTAAAAAACCAATAGTTATGTGAAAAAGTTAACCAAAAACATTGGAGCAAATTATAAAGAAAGGCTTAAAAAAAATTATAAAAAAAAGAACATAATTTAATTAAAATAAAATTAGACTCTCTTTTCTTTTCTCTTTTTTTTAATAAAATTTAAACTTTGTATCCTTACAAAATTAATATTTGATATTTAAAAATTAAATTATATAATAATTTATATAATTAAAATTAATTATAATTAAATTATCTAAACATCTTCAATTATGTTAAAATTAATTTTAAAAAAATAATATCCAAACAGATTGTGTTATAATTTAATCAATTATTTTTATAATTTATTATACCCAATTAAAATTCAAACGGGCACATATACAATTAGAGTTTTTTATTTTATTTTAAGTTACACAGTTTTATTAACCTAATTCTTTTATAACCTTACGCGGGGAGCTCATTTCCTAATGCAAGGGTACATTGTTTCCACCATAAGTACATGAAACTGGAGGTTAGTTATATGATTTATTTTGAAATATTATAACTTATTTCTCAATTAAAGTTCACTAGATTAATTCATCAGAAGTATTATATTTTTTTAACTTTATGTAAAAATTTGAATTAAGATAATTTGAATATTTATTTTATCTTTTAGAATTGAATATTTTGTAATTTATAAATTTATTTTAGCCCTTTATAATTAAATATTTTGTAACTTCTCATTTCATTCTAACTTTTTTTAAAAAAAATTGTAATTTAAAGTTTATCATTTTTTTCTAGAGATATCAAATGAGTCCAAAACACACACACACACACACACACACACACACACACACACACACACAGAGAGAGAGAGAGAGAGAGAGAGAGAGAGAGAGAGAGAGAGAGAGAGAGAGAGAGAGATAAAATTTGCTTTGATTCTACTTATAGGGCATCTCAATTATTATTATGTCTATTCTTACTCTTTTGCCCCTATTTAATATTAGAAAGATTATTAAATGCTAGAGTACTTTATTTTTAAAGTAGATATATTTAATAGGAATAAAATTAAAAACTTTTTGAATTTTTAGACAAAATTAATAAAGTTTAATGTTTTCCTTAATTCTAATAAAAATGGTGGAATTGACTTATAAATAAAATTAGAAAGAGTATATTATTAAATTCATATATCTTTTTTTTTTTTCAGTTCTGCCTCTACAAAGGCTTTTGAATTCAAATTATTTAAACAAATTTAAATTTGTCTAACCGACCTCTAAAAAAAAATTCAAACATAAATTACATTATATTTACATATTTTTTTCCTAATCTCAATTTGTTAACTTCGATTGAATTTTAACCTCAATTAAAAATTTTTTAATCCAAAACACACAAAGCAAGTAATAATAATTTTACAGCACAATAACAAAAACTCATGCCCCAACTGTCGACTCTCTGACTCTGGAGTATTTTGGGGGGGTTGGGGGGGATAAAGAATCAGAAAAATTTGCAAATATAAGATGGTCTTCATAGTTAACTGCCTACATTTTCAGAACCAAAATGGACACCGTTCAATTTCGAAGCAGCTTCAGGAACTCAGGTAAGCTTTGGCTTTGTCCTTTGTGTCTTTCAGTAACACTGCCGTAGCTGGCAATAAAACTGTAGAAATTGTATTTGTATACGTATAGCATTGTCGTCCGTGTTTACATTTGTACCGTCTATGTTGGCGATTGTGTAGTTTGGCGTCTGCCCTGACACTATATATACTAGTTTTTATCTCATTAATAAAGCAGTAGCCAATTTTACATTCAATATTGTTTGGTCGGGCTCATTCTCATCTTGCAGGAAATTCTACAAGAAATATGTACACGTCTTTTAACAATAACCTCAAATATTTTATCAACTAACTCGAACGAGATGGAAAAAATACATCATTCTGATTTCTATGGGATGTTGACTTCATAGCAGAAAATGGCAATTTATTTCTATCAACATTTTAGGATAAGAACACATGCAAACTCCCATGTCCATCTCTTAGAATGACATAGCTCTTCAAAACGAAAGAAGAGAACAGTGGCTAAACATGAAAATAAATAGAATTAACTAAACCAGATAATTCAGAAGTTACTATAACTGAGGCTGCGCAGCGCATTTAAATCGAGACACTGTTGGGAATTCCCATGCCAGTGAGACCACCTTCACTGGAAGGATAAAGTAAAGTATATGGCATCTTTACTGGCCCAGCTCGGTTTTTGAGCTTCTCGTCACTATTCCTCCTCATAATTCTCTCTTCAATTTCTCTCAATTTCTCTCCAAACTTCTCAAAGTCTTCCAAAGGCTTCGCATCAGATGTCCAATTAGGAGTGTCTCTCTGTCCCAGGTAGACCTCATCAGAAGTATGCCTAGACAAGACTTCTATAAGAGAAATGCCAAGAACAGTCTGCAACTGTGATGTAATTGTTTTCAAGAAAGCCTTTTCAGGATTTGCCAGGAGCTCATCATATTCTGGACTTCCTTTCTTGGGCATGAATCGCCGACTTATAGATGGGCGATTAAGGGGGTAGCCTCCAAAAGGGTATTGTCCAAAGTTAATTGCAGCATGGAGAGCTGAAGCAATCCAGATTATAGTAGTGCAAGATTCTATCAACTCTTCACGAGTCTGCATCCTAGGCCACCAAGGCTCATCTTTCTTGTCACCATGGCCTTCCTCCCTCAATTCCTTCCACCAAGATTGGAGTTCAGAGTCTTGCCTGACCGTGTCATCTGTCTTGTAGTAATGGGAACAATAGTCTTGGACCCATGTCTTGATAGCAAACCAAATCTCTAGTCCATCAACAGCATAAGGGTAATCCTCAATCAACAGCCTAAGGCCATGTGGGGAAGCTGAATCCTCAGCTGCCATTCCTCTGACAGAAGCAAGCAGCAAGTCATTAAAACCAAAAGTTCTATCACTTCCATTACGATATGATACAATCTAATTCAGTTCGTTTATCCCCTCTCAAAAAAAAAAAAAAAAAAGTGAAAGTCAATAAACACTCCATGCCTTAATAGCTTAAATGAACAGAACTTTAACCATAGTCATGTGCTTCTGAAATTTACCTTTTGACAAGATCAACAGGAAGTGCTTGCTCAGGGAAAACCCAATCCTTATACATGTACGATGACATCTCCATGGAATACTTAGCAGGAAATACTGTTAACTCCAAAGCTCCTCCTGCATTGATGAGGATCTGCCGTGCAAGTGCATTTATATTCATGGTATCACGAAAGTGAGGATGCAATAGTTTGTGAATAGGATGAAGCACACTAAGCTGTCTGTTTGTAGCTATAATAAATGGCTCAATTGCAGCATGAGTATGCAACCTGTGGCACATGTAAAAGCGTCCAAGTTAATTCTAAAAATAAGTGAACTAAGTATATGAGTTTGGTTTATTCAAAAGTTATACCAGTGGCTGATAAGCTGGTGAAAGCCCGAGTCAACTACTGCTACATAAGCTTTGGCTAATTCCCAGATGGAGCTTTCAACGCCTTGTTTGGCAGGAGTGTAGACTTCACTTAAAGCACCAAATTGATCTCCCTCGGGATGTGGCAAACTCAATTCAATGGCCAATGGCTTTAAAGTTCCATCACTTTGCAAGAATAAAACTGTCCTGCTAGCATAAGCCTGTGTGGAAGTGGTGTTTATCCTCCTCATGTATGGCATTAGCGTATCATGGTGATCTAATATGAATAACTTCTTTTTACTGATGGCCTAGACAACCAAAAACAAATTAGTAACATGACTCAGAACATCATATCCCAAAAAATTGATTTTGAAAAGAAGTTGTAACAAAATATTCCTCGCCTAGTAATTGTGAAACACAACATCATATCACCCTTGAAACGTTACCTCATCTACAGTGAGCCCATCCAGGTTTAACTCTATTTGTTCTTTAGCTATCTTACTTGTTTGATCACCATAAACTTTAGGATCTAGTTTGCTAGCCGGCGGGAATTCCTGCAAATAATTTAGGATTATTGTACGGGGGAAAAACAGATAGAACGCTCCATTAGGCTATTGAGCCTATTAAGACAAGCAAAGTTTGACATTCAGGCAGAGATCATATTCTTATCTCTTTATCTAAATCCAAATATTCACAATTAATTAGTAGCATTTAGCCGTTTAAGCTTACTTGGAGACAGCGAATTATGACAGGATTTACACCCGCCAGCATCTCTCTCACAAATTCTTCATCAGTCCTCCACGCAGACTTATCCTCTGCTCCAAATTATTAAGAACGCCAGTATCAAACAAGAATGGTTCACAAAAATAAGTAACATGTAAAGTTAACCGAGGGCCATGACTCATGTACAACACCTTTAATCACTTGAGGCGTCGGAAACTTGAGGAACTTTTCACCATCAGTTCGGAAAATTTCCTTGATTAATTCTGCCGGAATGTTATCCCTAATATCCTTAAATATACCTTCAGGCAACTCAATCCCACCTTCATAAAGTTTAAGCACATCTTGAAAGCTATCAAACTCATTCGGAGTTCTGTCAAAAAGAGATTCCAGCTCAGGTTTCAAAACTTGAACAATGAGCTTTAGTGCATAGCCAAGAGCATCCGCCATCTTCACATGACTGAATCTTTCGTCCCTTGGAACATAGATATTGAGACTCAATGGCAGCTTCAGCCTAGTCTCAACATTAGGATCTGCAAAGATATGACAACAATTTTTTTTTTGAATACCACCTGGATTAGCCAAAGAAAACGACTTTTTGTTTTCAAAGGCAGTTTAAAAGCCTGACCTGACTTTTTGGGTGGTCTACCAGTTCGACACCTTCGAGGGTAGGGATATTGGCTAGACCCTCCCAGAATAGGACGAACGAGCTGAGGCTTGTCTGGATTGCTCAAATCATTATAGTACGCATAATCATAAACTCTATCCCATTCTTTAAGCTCCCCCTGTCCATCTCCTCTCAGATTATTCAATTCTTCTTCTCTGTACTTGAGCAGGGCCTCTGGAGTCTCACTTGGAAGGAACGTCTGCAACACAGTAGCAACAAGCTTATAGTTCAGAAGCTCCTTTTACAGATGAACTTTACTAGTAAATAATAATTCATTTAATGCACCTTGTTGGCGAAGAAAATGCGATTCGTTTCGTATTTATCCGCGTTGTAGATCCAAGAGTTGCAAACGAAGTGGATAACGCCATGATGAGGAACATTTTCAAGAGTAAGAGTTCTGAGATAGAACTCACTAGGATGATTATTCCTTATTAACAATGCTCCTGGAGTTCCTATCGCTTCATCCCACTCAAATGTAACCTTAAATGCAACTTCGTCCGCCGTCAAAGGCGTTATTGTTGTAATCCAATCTTCCAGATATGCCGGCTTCCCAAGCTTCCCTCTCAAACCATTTTCTGCAGTTTATCCATTTCAGAAGCTTTCAAAGTAAATATAGGAGTAATTTTTTATATCATCGTAATTCTTTAAAAAAAAAACGAAAAAAGGGTCAGCCCCATGGACTCGTACGTGAGAGTTGACTAGTTGAGAGACTAGAAGTCATTTGCCAAATAGTGAGATAGTGGATCCTGACTCGGACTTCGCAATAGAATAATGAAAAGGGAACAAAACGACCCAGCACTATCAAACGCAATCTAACCGGGCATCAAATTGCCATACATTATTGCAACAAAAATCATCACCGACACAGGCGGTGTGATGATGGTTTGAAAAACACGAAAATTAGAAAGAGAACAGAAAATATCAGAACTAGAGTTGGAAAGCAGAGAAAATTACTAGCTGTGAAACTAGGGGCGATTCTGCGACAACCAGCGGATCGGAGAAATCTGCATGCCGCTTTTTTATTATTATTATTTTACCAGACCATGCCTCTCTAGTTTTCCCTCCGACCTTACTTTTTTTTTTTTATTTGGGGGGGGGGGTGGTCAATGCCTCTTATGTCGGACTCGTCAACTAGAGAGAGAGAGAGAGAGAGCCAGAATCCCTTTTTCTTTGTTTTTTTTTTTACTCACACACAATTAACGGGCTTCCATTTTTTTTGGGTACAATAATGGTTCTACTTTAACATGATTTGGGCATGGCCCAACAAAACATATCATGATTTGTGAACAGATGCACGTGCCTTCAGAGTTTTTCTTTTTTTCAGAGAGGCAGCAGTAACTTTATTAAAAATAATAATGAAATAACGTATTAATATTAATATAATAATTAATAATTGTACGGATGCATATGATCGCATCAGCTCGCCAAAGTATGATTTGGTCTCTTGTCTGATAAGAGTCTAAAGAAAACATAAAAAGAAACTTACATATAATTTTGTAGGCTGGAGGATAAGCAAAAACAAAAATGTAATTACGACAACTAAACTAGTCAAAATTAATGAACGCTCGAGAGGAAATATTTCAATATCAAATTATTTATGCCATAGGCATTGACTTTGAATAACAAAATAAAACAGCCTTGCAGACACTACTCTAACCAAAGTCCAGTCGTCAAGGTTACTAGCCGCCACCGAAGTTCAACCAAAATTCAATTTAAAAGAACTATTCTTAGGTAAAAAGAAAAATAATTTTCGTCTGTACTTGATTTATTTACTCACGAAGTTGTAGAAAAATAGACGAGTGCAGAGTCCAAACAAGCGGTTCAGAAAGAGTAGATTACCGATTTCCGTCTGTACTTGGATAAATGGACGGAGGGAGGGAAGGAAGGAAGACATAGAACAGGACACAGTGTTTAGTTAACTAGGAAGAAGATAGAGCAACGAAACAAAAGAATATCGTTAGAGGGCAGGATTTATACTAGTAGTGTCTAATTCTATCCGTTTGTCCCTCCAAACGCTAATCAAGACCCATAATCGTAAACAAGCCATCAGAAACAGAGTGAGAGGGGGAGAGGGTGGTTAGGTAAACTGACCAGGGTCAACGTTGACGGAACTAATCAACTGGAGGGAAACCTTGTTGCCCACTAGCTCGTGAAATCGATCCATGACGGAGGCACCCAAGTCGTTCATGTCCAACACATTCTTCTTCATCAACACCGCCGTCCCTTTAATGGTAGTGCGGTGGCCATCGCCGTCGCCGTCGGAGTTTCCGGTGAGAGCGGTAAGGATGTTCTGAAACATCTGTTTCTTCTCAGAGCAGCTACCTCTCGGAGTAAAAGTTCGAAAAAACAGAAGGGGATTTAATTAGAACCGTGAATTTGCAGCGAGGAAGTGCCTCGGTGTTGTGCGCATTTATAGGCAGGAAAGAGAGAAGTTCACACCTGCCAATAAGAGACTGCCACTTGTTCAGCCACTGTAGATTCAATGTCTTCTCCTTCCCCTCTTTTTCTTGGAAGTCGAGGAGAAGGAGGTCGATCCGTGTGGTAATTTTGGGAAGAAATTCCACTTACCTTTTTTTAAAAAACAAAAAAGAAAATGAAAATCTGTGTTCATTCAAGGTTCGATACACATTAACTTTGTCCTGATTCCATGTTTTATTAATATGTGTGTGCGTGTGTACAACTTTGTCCTCGTCTTCATTCATACGTGCCCCTCGAGTTCAAGGCACGTGATGGCTCCTCCTTTTTAGACACATTTTTTTTTATTGATGTTTTCCCCCTTGTCCATATGCAATTTATTTTGTCAGTTGATATATATATTCTACATCAATTTGCCTTAATCTATTGCTCGCTCAATTTTAAATTATAAAATATTTTTTAAAAAAATTTAATATTCTAAAATATAAGGTATTTTAATAAAAATAAAATTTTATTAATATTTTTTAATATTATCTTTCTTATTATATTTTTTTATGAATGATATATTAGATGAATGCTATTTTCAAAAATTTATATTTTTATTTTAAAAAATTAAAATCATAAAATATATTTAAAGAATTTTGTTAATATGTATGATTTTTTTAAAAAAATATTTTATAATTTAAAATAGAGAAAGTTATTTCTTTTTATTTTCCTTCACCAATTATATTTCTCTAAGATTAGGATCAGGTTGCTCCGGATATTAAAAACTGGAATCAAATCACAATGCTACAGTGCCTGGTGAATGAAGTAAGAAACTTTTTTACAGTTTATGGTATACTTCTTCTCTTCTAAATCATAAAACATTTTTGAGGGGCAGATTGAATTTGAAGGAGAGCACCGAAAAAAGTCATTTTTTAAAAGACATGATTTTAAAAATCTAATATATTTGGCGTATTTTGGAAATGCTTAATGGGATTTTTGTAAACATTCTCTTTTTTTATCAACTATAAACAAGAAAAATCTACCTTTCCACGTTAGAGTTTATTTTTTTTTAATTTAAAATTGCCAATGTCTTTTTTTAGCAAGAGAGAGTGACATTTGAATCTTAAAAGGATCAATTAATTTAAGTTGACTCTCAACTAACTTTAGAATACTAATAAAGTTCCTTAACTCTTTTTTTTTATCAACTATAAAAATTCTCTTGATAAATATTTGAAATTAATAAAATTTTTATATCTATTTGTGCTTAAGTGTATATTTGAGAGTATATGATAGAATGGAAAGGAAGAGTTATTAATAAAATGGAATGGAATGTGGTGGAGTGAGACAAAGTATAATGGAATAGAACATTCCACTGTTTGAGAGTTCTATGAAAAGAATAAATAAGTTTATATTTTATTGTTTAAGAATAATTACAAAATTAATAAATTTGAATAAGATATAATTATTCTTTTTTTTTTGTTTTAAGGCAAGGGAGAGTGAGAGGAGTAAGAAGGATAAGGGTAATTTTGTAAAAATATTATTTATATCCTATCATTTTATGCTTGATCTCTAAATTGGAGGTAAAAGAAAAATAAATTTAAGATGGCAAATGATAGTTTAGAAAACTACCCCAAGCATTATGCTCCCTTTTAAAAATATCTTTTAAATAATGGCACAGGAATTCTAAACATACCATTCCATTATATTTTATTCAGTCTTAAAAAATACTCTCAAACATCACATAAGCTATCAAATTAAATAAAGTTAGATATGGAGATAGTAGGTAATTTATAGCTATATTCATGAAGGTCAAAGTTATTAAAAATATCTATGGAATCAACATTTACATTTCCATGTTTAAAATTTGATCTTACCAGATAAATAGGGACTGGTCAATCTAACGTTACCTTGTATTGATTCTTTCGATGCAAGTATTTATTTTGTTGGCCGAGATGAAAGTATTCATTTGGAGAAAAGGACTTTGTTCAATCTATTTTTTCTCATTTGTTGCCTATAATGAGTAAAACGAGGTATTAAATATCTGCGTATCTTCATCACTTTAGTTTGAGGATTTGTCATTAAATCATCATCATCTTTATTTAATATTTTATTTATTTGTTAAATTTATATTATCTTTTAAATAAATAATTCAGATTAGGTTTGGATTTATTCTTTCCTCCCTTCTCTTCCTCTCGTTCTTCATCAATCTCTCGCTAAATTTTTGTGTTTGGTCAGCAATATAAAATTATACGACCAAGATAATATAAAGCAATGCAAGTTGTCCTCAATAATTGATGTGTCATGACTCATGTCAAACGCAGAATAACCTTTCTCACGTGGAATTATCGCTGGTTTTTCATTTTTCCAGTAAGATATTGAAAAAAAAGAGGTAGAGTTACATGACAAGAAAAATCTACGTTTTTATTTTTTATTTAAAATTGCCAATGCTTTTTTTTTTTTTAAGAAAGAATGACAGTTAAGTCTTAAAAGAGTTAATTAATTTAAGTTAAGCTCTAACTGATTTTAGAATACCAACAAAGTTTCTTAGCCCTTTATGATAAATTGATGATAATTTTAATAGAAATTTGTAAAGATTTGTAAATTCAACTCCAAATTTCATAATTTTATTATGATGTATTTATAACTTATTTTTTGAAATTTAATAAAAAATATAAATATTTATCTTTGATATTTGAGAAGTATTAAGTCTAACAGTTATAGAAATTTGCAAGTTTAGTTCTCTATTTTGCAACTTTGCTAGGATATATTTGTAACTTATTTTTTTAATTTTAACCAAAAATATTAATGTTCATATTTAATATTGAAAAGTATTAAATCTAACAGCTTTAGAGATTTACAAATTAGGTTTCCAATTTTATAATTTGTTGTGATAAATTTGTAACTCATTTTTCATATTTTAATAAAGAATGCAAATGTTATATTTAATGTTGAAAAATATTAAACCTATTGTTTATTTTTAACTCTGTTAAAATTTAAAAAGTAAGTTGCAAGTTATCATAACAAAATTAGAAGTTGCACTTGAAATTTTTTGAAAATGTTAGACTTGTTACCAGTAAAAAATTGAGAGATTTTGTTAATACTTAAAACTTAAGTTAAATTAATTGATCCCCTTAAAACTTAATTATCATTCTCCCTTATTTTCATCCAAAGCCTCCATTGCCGGTTCAATAATTATTTTTAAACGATGGAATAGGGCTTGGTTATGAATTTCGGATTTAAATTTTCTGAATTTAGAATTTATAAATTTAATATTTTAAGTAAAATTTTCCTTATCTTAAAAAAGAATATTCTATATTTTATTAAAAAATAAAATAATGAAAAATATTCTATATTGAATCTCATAGCTTTTTTTTAATTAATGGACAATATTCTAATATTCTTATATTTTATTATTTGCCGTGTTCATGCTCTATAAACTTGATGTTGACTGTAACTCTATCAAGGTTTCATCAAATGGCACAAAATATAGTAACGATGGGATGCACGCACGCACGTCATCATCAATGCGCGCCTTTTCATTCATTAAATCTCAAACGTTCACACTGAAAAATGGATTACAAGCTGATAACAAAAAATAAATATTAAGACTATGGGATAAAATATCATGCATCCTACCTGGTCATAATAGGAGCTGGAATATTTCTCGTAGAAGAGAATCGAATTTCAAAATTATAATAAGCAACTTTCGAGTTATCTTGATATTCTAAAATTTTTAAATTACTACATCTGTTAAAAGGAAACTCGGTTAATGGGAAAAAGGAATCGAAAAAGAAGCACATAAACAAGAAGAATATATGTGAGCATCCCAAAAAAAAAAAAAAAGAAGCTAAAGTGAAGCCTTAATGATCTACTAAAAAAAGGTTGAAGTGAGAGAATAAGTTCAATTCAGCAGCTTCAAGTGCAAGTAATTGAAAATAGGCTATTAGTGACAGATGGCTCTGGAATTAGCTAGTGAAGATCGTTGAAAGTTGAAATTTAGCAGCACGAGTAAATGTGAACAAATCAGTGCAATTTCATATCATATGCGATGCGAGCATGCGTCCCTGTCCAGCGTCCACTTGAAAACCATTATTGGATCCATAGTTCTGCCAAAGGAAAATGCTGACAAAATTAAAAGAATAGTCTTCACTTACGCTTCTAATTGAGAAGACCAATGTGCTCACATCCCTTGGAAATTACAAATAACGCGGGATGAAGCTGGTCCGCAACTGACATTATTATAATTAGCATTCAACTACTCATAACTCATTTGTATTCTTTTTCAACATCATTTTGTTGGAATACCGAAAATTATAATTTAAACATATCTGTCGCTAGGGCTTGCCCACTAAGCAAACTCTCGGAAGGTAAGAATAGAATATTAGTGTTTTACTTTTCGAAGTTCTTAGAAGCACTTCTGAGGGTAAAGCCAATCTGCATCCGTACGAATGAACATGTCTACATCATCTATCAAACCCTAAATCCCAAAGAGCAATACCGAGAGAACTTGTCGATACAGTGCATCCTGTTGCAGAAGGCGCCAATTCGTGCATCCCATATTCTTTTCTGACATGGATTGATCAGGAATTGATAACATAATCAAACAAAGTCCAGGCCCTCCTATTACTATCTACAGAAGTATGAACAACTGTGCGAATGCTTCATCGTATTTGTGAAGTCATGCTCATGATCATACAGAACTTGCATTGCCTAGCACGTTAAATACTATTACACATTACACAAACTCCGATCATCACACCATTCTGGTTGATACACACCCATAGTCCGCAAGTGTCTTTACTCGCATCATCTTCAATGGAGAATAACACATTGCAGTTGATTCAAAATTCAAGCTCACTTTGATAGGTGGAAAATGTAGAGTTAATCCTCGACCTATCTTACTTTCCATCAACACAAGCCTCTCAATTTAGTTCTCTTAAAATTTTCACCCAGTTAAAAACGATTCTTCTATCACAGCAAACCTTGTCCTATTTATATACAGGAGCCCCCATGACTAACACCCTCACGACGTGAACCTTGCCATGTGGATATGCTTCTCAAAAACACCACCATTTTGGCAAATTCCATGAATGGAAAATGAGGGCACTTTTGGAGAAAATTTAGTCAAACAATATCCTTCTGGGGAAGAAAAAACTTCAACTTACACGCGTTCAGGTCACGCGTTAACACAGGCTTGAGCCCCTATTTATTAACCAGGAAAAGTCTGCATAGTGATAGAACCATTTAGATTGGGTTAAAATCTCAAGAGCAACTAAATTAAAATACTGGCTTTGAAAAGTTAATAAAGAAGAGAATCCTATGACAAGAACTAGCTCATCCATTCACTAGGAAAGCAATCAAAGCCAGCTCTTGCCAGATACCCAACTCCTTATTATGCTTTCCAAGGACTAGGAAAGACCTGCCTGCCTCTCCCATTGAAGGTCCTCCATAAATTCAGAAAGAGCTGCTCGAGGATTACCATTTGAAATATACCAGTAGTATTTTGCAGTGTCATCTTCAACTTGCATGCTTCTCCTTAAGGAATTGATTATTCTTTTCTTGCCTTCTGAGGACATTCTGTTCGATAAATAGCTTGTTCTTCTGTCTGGCACGTCATCTGGATACAACACTGCTACTTCTCTTTTTGCACAGACATCTAGCTCAATATAGCACGTTCTGTTTATTAGAATATCAGGATTGCTTATGGGGATCAATAACCTTTCCCTTGAGTATATGCCATGATCACTCATCATGTTGTTCAGACGTTTAATGTCCATAACCTGTCAAAACATGAAATTCTTAAAAGTTCAAGGCAATGTAATTTCAATAAGCCTACAACCTGGAAGAAACAGAATAAAATAGAGCAAAGAGACCGCAGTACACAAAACAATGGTTTAGAAAAGAATCTTGAAGTATCTGTATACTCAAGTATAGCTGGGCCACGTCCCATTTTGATCAATAAATGAACAGGAAGGATAACAACCATTTCATTGAATGCATTCTGCTCATGTGATATTATAAATGAGTGATGTGGGAGTGGGACTTCGATTTTCAAATATAGTAGTAGCTTGGTTGTGCAAATGTATCTTCAACAGAGACAACTAGTAGTCATGAACTCAGTAGTAGTATCGTGCAAAAATATCTTCAATGTCAAACTCAATAATGCGACAACAATGCGGCCAGTGAACCTTAATTTTTCACACTCATTATTATTTTATTTTATTTTATTTTGGCCCAGGGGGGGGGGTTGGTGTTTAAGTTCCTGTCTATGTCGTGCAATATTCATTCGATTTTCCTTGGAATAAAATTAACACTTACAAAGAAACTAAGAACAAAGATTTTTTTAAACTGTTTGCTTCTCATTCCTTCTAGACTGAATATTGAAATATCCTGTTATAATTTGATACACGCAACCAAAGCATTCAAGTTTCTCCAATGAAGAAATATATCATGGCGCAATCGCAAATCAGGCATACCTGAACCGAGTATTTGACGGCAAGGCTGGCAACACTATCCTCACGGCCAATCCGATGGGACAGGGCAAATTTGCCCAAACCATTGTCCCTCCAGAAGCTTCCAGACAGTGGATTGCCAACTACATCCTTCAAATTCCAAGGAGCAAGAAAGGCCCTCGTCACAATATCCCTTTCGGAAGCAACGGTGTTCCAGAATCGGGAAACGCAACTGGCGCGTGCAAGGTCAGTAATGGGAAGGTTCAAGAAGATGATTCGGAGGGTGTCCCTGCAGGTTAGGGCAGAGAAATGAGAATTGATAGGAGAAATAACCGTGGAAGAGGAGAAGGAGGGGGAAGAAGGGCGTGGGGATTCGACGGAGGAAGAGGGGAAGTGGGAATTCATGAGATGTTTGAGGATGTCGCTGTCGTCTTCATCGCAACAGCAACCCATTGAGCCTTCCCCATCCCCGTTCCCCGGATTGTTGAGCCGGTGGCTTTCGCCATTTCACTGACCTCTACTTATGCCATCAGACAGGTGATTTTTCTTTTCTTTTTTTCTTTTTGAAGTTTTTTCCTCAGCTCTAATCTAATGTAACTTCTAACCATGAGGCAGGAGGTTGTTTCATTGATCTCTCACTGACACCTTTATGACAAATATAATGTAGGTATTTTAATGGAAGAGTCGTTTTAAGGATCCTAAAAAATAGATTATTATACTTTGAACATAACATATTTTAATATTGCATTAAAGGTCTAGAGGCTTTTGTTGTAATTTTTTTTAAAAATCAAAAGTATAATTTTGCTTTTAGTATTTGAAAACAAAACCTATATAAAACCTTAAAGCTCTCTATCTTCTTCCTTTTGCTCTCTAGTTTCATTTTCAAAGGTTGTCTTTAAAGAAATAACGAAAAAAAAAGGAGGTGGAGAAAGCTGAGCAACCCTTGTTGGGCTTGAAGGTATAAGTAGTAGTTGTCTTCAAAGGTGGTTACACTCAAATGAGAAGGTAGGTCATTTTTGAAGTTCAGTGGAGTCACTTTTAAAGGTCTAAGCCTCGCCATAGCTTGTTGGTGCTATCAAAGGGAGACTATGTTGGTGATAATCTTCTTCTCCGTTCATTCTTCTTCATTATTCCTCCCCTGTTATGCATTCTCATGGGTTTTCTCCCTCATTTTATCCTGCTTCACACATTGCCAACCATTACTCATCTTCTTCATCTTCCTTATTATATGATGATAGATCAATGGATGGTCGGTTAAGAATATGCAATCAAAACACTTAACGTCTTATATTATGATGCTGCTTGGTTGATTTCTATCTTGTAAGGTGCGCATGAGATGGATTTTTTATTATATAAACTGCACTGTGATATTGTTGAAATTGGAGTTTTAGTTGTGGTTTTACTGTTGATATAAGGTAAAGATTACTAAATCATTGAGTTGGCTATAAAAGTTTTTAAGTGGATTAATTGTTGTACAATCATGATAGTTGACTTGTTCGTATTGAACTTTAATATATGAATTGAATAAAATATGATCCAATATGAAGAAAATCTGCCATCATAAACGTTGGAGTATTTGTTATGCAAAAATTAACTTTAAGTTGCTGCTGTTAAATGTTGAGTTGTACATTTTGTTAAGCTTAGCCTAATAATAAATTGAAATCGCATGGACTTTTAATTGAGAATATATGAACCTTATGTTGTGCATATTGGATATTGTGTTGTACATTGTTTGCCTAATTTGAGCATTTTGTTAAGTCTAACTTATTAATAAATTAGAATCGCATTGACTTTTAATTAAGAATATATGAACCTTATGTTGTGCATAGTGAATATTGTGTTGTATATTATTTGCCTAAATTGAGTATTTTATTAAGTCTAACCTACTGATAAACTGAAATCAAATGGACTTTTAGTTGAGAATATGTGAATCTTGTATTATGCATAGTTGATATTAGGTTGTACATTATTTGCCTATTTGTGCATTTTGTTAAGCCTAACCTACTAATACAGCAACATTGATAGATAACTTATTACAAACTTTTTTGCAACCGTCTTTAATTAATCGTTCTCTTAGGAGGCCACGAATAAGGAGGACAAAGTTTCAATTTCAAGATAAGAAAATTTATTATTGTTCAAGATGTGAGGAGGTTGGACACAATCATAAGGTGTGCAAAAATCTTAATCCAACATGATAAGTATGTAGGTAACCATAATTATGTATATAGAAGCATTTTCAAATAATGTTTTTTTAAGTAATTTGGAATCACAGAATTTTTTTATTTGTATATAGAGAAACAATTGTTAGATGTTTTAAATATAGTTGTTAACTTTTTATATATATCAGATTTGAAATATCATGTTACATTTTATGTGGGTATTTGTTTTAGTAGTTAGGTTAATACCAACATGAAATTATTCATATTCAATATAATTGTCCTTCGTAATATTGGAAAGGCATGTACTTTGAATTGAGCATACGTGAGTATTGTCTTGTGCATAGTGAATGTTGTGTTGTACATGATCCGCCTTACTCATTCATTTTGATGAGCCTAGATTACTAAAATACTAAAGAGGCATGAATTTTTAGTTGAGCATGCGTAAGCATTGTCTTATGTATAGTGAATGTGTGTTATGTTTTGCATTGGTTTTTTGAATTTAAATCAAACAAAGGACAAAATTGTACTTTTAATTTTTTAAAAAATTGCAATAAAGGCCTCAAGATCTGCAGTACAATATCAGACTTTTTCAAGCCCAAGGTGCAATTATGTATATTTTTAAGGCTCTTAGTGCAATTTTTCATATTATAATTGTAAATACAAAATGTAAGGAAAGGTTTGTAGTGATTCATTATATTCATAAATAATAAATAATTTAATTTATCTTAAATTTTGTATAACATATGAAATATATGCACCAAAGTTAGTTTTAGAAAACAAATCTCACTTATAAAAAAAAAACAAATCTCAATTATTCATTAGAAAACTTCATATTGTTTCTTATAAAATTTGTAATTGTAATTTTTTAAATAACTTCATATTATTTTTGAAGCATATGCTTATTATATATGTGTATGTATAAAGATATAATCAAAATATTTAGCCTATGGTTGGTTCAATGGATAGTAAGAACTAAAAAGGAGTAGAAAAAGATTACAATGTTTTCTTACTATAATTAGAAAAAAAAAAAGAAACGAAATTTTGATGTCTGTTTGTTTGATTAGAAAAACTAGGGGAGATAAAATAACAATAATAATAATTTGACTATTATATCTTAATCAAATTTAAATTCTTTTATTCTTTTTTATTGAAAAGATAAATACGTCTAAAGGACGTTAAAAGAGAATCAATTTTTTTCCTTCAATCTTTAAAAGAGCTTGAGTTTTAAAGTAGACAATATAAAGCATCCAAGTGCTAATAAAATATGAAGAAAGAAATGTAGAGAAGAAATATTTTTATCAAGGGTTAAATGAAAAAATGTTCTAAAACCTTTTATCCTAATTTTTTTTGTTAGAGTAAAGTTACTCTTGAATTTTCAAAAAAAGTACAATTTTCTTTTATTGTTAATTTGATTGTTAAATTAATTGGGCTAAATAATAAAATTACATGCGACAAGTTATATATGCTGAGTGAGACAAAAAGTGGGATCCATGAGGACTACACCCTCTTCTCGCTCCTTTCTCATCGTCTTGATTGCACTAATGCAACACCTTCCCTTTCTTCTTCCTTCCTCACCTCCTCTCTCTCCTTCTCTCCCTCACTCCTTCCTCATCATTTTGCCTTGATTGAACCATGTTGTTGAATTGGTTAGTCCTTTGCCTTACTTCACCGTCTTTCCTTGTCTTCACTCTAAACACTTTTAGCTTTTCTATGGCCTTAGCGAAATCTTGAAAGAATGCATTCTCATCTTTGGCATATTATTCAACAATTGGCTTCGTCCTCAAATCTCTTCCCATGATCAAATTTGAGTCCAAAAGCCCTAACCCATGCAACACACGTTCTGGTGATATGCGTTATCAAACTTGCTCGAAGAGATCCTTCCAACGATTTTGGGATCATCGTTGGATCCACTTGGGAGGTTTTGTTGAAATGGAAGACTTGGCAAGTAAACTCCTTGCAATGAGTGAATCTAATGATGTGGGCACAAATGAGAGCCACCATTTCTTAGGTTGTGAAGTTCTTTGATGTGAACTTCTTGATGATCTTGTCCACAGTGAAACCTGACTTCAGCAAGGCGACTTCGACCTTTGAAGTGTTCAATGAGAGACTGTCTTTATGTCATAATGGCACAACGTAAAACAAACCTCCAACCATCTTGATCAAATTCGAGGTCGATTGCATGATGATGTCAAAGCAGGAGACAGCATCAGGGCAAGTAAGCTTAAGGGTGTTTTTAATCTTGAGGATGAGGTTAAAGGCTTTGGAGTTCAACAAAGAGGCAAAGGTTGGCTCTAGGAAAGCGAAGCAAAGAGAGAGAGAGAGAGAAAGGGGTGGCAGGTAGGGAGGGAGGAGTGAGGTAGGAAGAAGTTGTCGAATACAATGAAGAAGAAATGAGAAGAAGGCATGATCCACATGGATCCCACTTTTTGTCCCCCTCAACATATACCACTCGCCACACGTAATTTTATTACTCACCATGGTTAATTTAATGATCAAAGTTAATAATATGGCGAAATTACACTCTTTAAAAGCTGGATGACGATATTGCTTCAACAAAAAATATAAGATATCATGCATCCTTCCAAAATTTCTCCACTCCCCACACGAATCCGCCGAAGGCCAAATCCCTCCAATGTTAAGACAAGGTAAGGTATATCACAGTCACCAGTGTAAGAAATATCAACTAACCAAATAAGTTACCAAAATTGTGCCAAAATATAACAGTCCAAGAACATAACAAAAGAAATGGCCTCACCACGGTTAGCACCTCCACAGTCTTGTCACTATTTCAGGGTTTTTAACAGGGTCAAACACTCAAACAAATCATACGACATGAAGCCGCAAATAAGATCTCTCTGGCACAGATGAGACCCCAGCATCTATAATCTATAATATCAGCGATAATACAATCTATTCATCACTTTCACCAACCACCACCTAGCCCATATGCGTTCCATGTAGCCAGCTCCATGATCACTATGGTGTTCATGTCCATGACGATGATGGTGATCATGATCATGATAACCGCCTCTTGCTTCATCAAACATTTTCTGAATGTGCTCCGGGACGGGCTCTTCCTCAATTTTCCTCTCAGTCCTGGGTAAGGATGACACGAATTGAGAGATTTTGTCCGCTAACTCAACAGCTACATCCTCCTGAGTTCATCGAATTAAAAAATAGCTTTCATTCAGTAGGCCGTGGAAAAGAACAACGCTTCAGTATCAAAAGTATATAAAATAATCAGAATGATTGGGATTTTGAAATCCTTGTGCCAAAACAAAGTTCACTCCTCCTCCTTTTTCAAGGAGAATCAAGACCATCCCTCCTCAGAATAAATACAGATCTTCTAAGCAGATAGAATTCCACAGTTCACTCTCTTTGGTAACTAATTCTAAAAGATACAAAACTTCTGTAATTAATCCGATAGAAGTGAAAATTGTGAGAGAATATTAGAGTCTACAGACTCTCTATCTGATGCAACTCAGGGAAGGACTTCACTTGTGAAATTAAAAGCGAATATTTCTGCACTGTGATTGGCCAGGAGAGAATAGGTATATGTATGCATTATGTGCCCATATAGCTTCAATGCATTTGGAATTCCATGAAAAACCTCTCAAAGAACAACAGAAGATCAATCAAGACAAGCTAATCTCTGATAAGCAATATAAACCTTTTCCAGAACCTCTAATTGAGAGCCCCAGATAGAGATGCAGTCATGCAAGAGATTGCCGTATCTAAAGCTTAGTTTCTGGAATTAGATATTCTTTGAGCATACTAGTTCAAATGGAGGAAAATGGATGGATAGAACCTGAAAAAATAGCATGGGCGAAAAGTGTGTGGCACCACCAATGAAGCTCCAATTTTTCAATGCTTTATTTAGTACTAATTAAACTGGACCCATGAGAATTTTTTACTGCAGCAGCTGCCCTAAAACATTAATTTTAGGGCCATTTTACGCGGTTAATTTTGGGAAACCCCGGATCCATAACATTTACCATAAGACTTATTTCAGATAGCAGACAACCTCTAAATGAAAACGAGATTATGCAGTGGCATGGTACCACAGGCTTAGGCTGTAGAGGTAACATGAGACAAGAAATAAAGTTTGAGCTTACCTGAGCCCAACGGCCTCCGGAATGTGTAACAAAACTCGCGCGTGGAAGAGCTTGAGCAATCTGATTTCCTTCTTCGGTCCAATCTTTAGACCATCCATCAGACCAAAGCACTTGCATGGGCATATGCTTTAATCCATCGGAACCACCCCACTTTGCGATATCAAAGCTGCAATTCACATTCTTTCCCATCGCCACTACTGCTCTTCTTCCATCTCTGCCTTTCAAGAGTACTCTTTGAGCATCTGCGTCCATCATCACAAGTCGCTTTGAGCAACAAAAGTTTACCATCTTGGCATATACAAACGAAGACCCCAATACTATCTCTCTAATCACTGGAATATCCAGGACCCAGAAGGGCAAAGCCCCTTGGGTTTTCGTTGATGTATCTACTAGTGTCACGCTTCTGACCAACTCAGAGTTCTCTGAAACCCAATTCGCGCTCAATCCCAAAGCCGAATCATGCAAAACCAAGTGAGCAGGAGCCAGTCTCATAGTATCAATCACTTGTCCTAGTACTCTGCCCATCTCTTCAGGCCCTAACTCAATAGGCTTGATTATCCTCCTCTTCGCCATCCGAGCTTGTATTTCTTCATATGGAATCTGACCAGTTTCGATTATTTGATCGAACGCCCAGAAAAACCCCTTTTCCTGAATCTCGCTGTACACATACCAAAACCTCCCCAAAATCCCCACTGGCCCCTCGACAAACTCTTCCGTATATTTGTCGGAGAACCCGTTCCCTGGCAGATCTAATGCGACCACGCGAACTCCCTTGGCACCTAGAGATTTAATAACCTGGCGATAAGAGTATGAACTAAGCCCCAAGCCGTGTACAATGATTACATTCTCCGACGCTTTGGGGCCTTCTTCGACGGTGAACACTTCAGTGGGTGGTTGATTAGGACGTGTCTGCACCTTAATGCTGCGGCCTTTTGAATAATGTTGGCGGAGGGTGTCCGGTAGGCTAAGAAACCAGCTCTTGGTATCTTGTGGGGAGAGAGAAGAAATAGAGAGTAACAAGAGAGTGATGAGAGAGACAGAAAGAGTAAAGTAGAACCAGAAGGAGAATGGATTTATTCCAAGAGATTGATGTTCATTTGTTCTTGAGCTAGCGGATGGTTTGGTTTTGACGGGGTTGGCAGGTCGCTTCTGTGATTGTTGGGCTTTGGGTTCTTGTTGGTCTTGTTCTTCCGTTATGATCGCCATTACTCGACCCCAGAATGAAACCTTAACCTAAGCAAAAGCTGCTCTCTTTGAACTTCAAAGACTAGATCCACACGGGTTACAGAATCCAGAAACCACAGCGATGCGTAACCGGCAACCTCGGAGATGTAGACCGTCGTCCACTCATCATGACTCGGAAGGGCCTGTTTGGGTGGTTGGATTGGAACAAACTAAGAGGACGCATTTGACGATTGTATCCAGCAAATTGTAGAACAATGTCAAAAACATTAAGTCATAAAATAGAAGTATTTTTTCCTTTTGAACAGCCACAAAATAGAAGTATTTGACAAAGAGATTAATAAAACAATTTAAATATTTTGTAGTATATTTTTAAAAAATTAAATTGAATTAAACTAGTCTAAAATTTAAATACTTCCTCAGACCGCAATACATAGCATTTTTTAGAAAGTTTACTTACTATAAAATATATATTATTGGGTAGTTTTTATAATCATTTTTTAACAATTATTTTTTAACTATATTTTTATTTTATTTATTACTTTTTTAAAAAAAATGATACATTACAATTTTAATTATTATTATCAAAACACTTATATAAAATATTTACTGAAGATAAAATTAAAGAGATATAAATTTTTAAAAAACATTAAGGTTTCAATTAATTTTTTTTAAGAATTGTAAATTAATTATCAATATTTTATATTTGGGCAAAGGGGCAAATATATTCAAAAAGTAGTCAGCGGCGGGCACCTAATATCTTAAAGTGACGAAAAGGGTAAAAATACCTATAACATTATGTGGATGGATGTCAAAGTAATTAGACCGTTAACTTTGATAATTAAATACTGACTGTGTATATCACGTGTCAGTTTTTGCTAACATGGATTAAAAAAGGGGCAAAAATATCCATGAAGTCATTGACCAGAAGCAAAAATACCCATAATGTTACCAGAATTAGTGCAAAAGTTATCAATACATCTAATCCCTTAAATGTTAACCGTTTAGCTGACAACTAATAAAAAAGTTGACTATTTTTTTTACTGATGTAGATAAAAAATATTCCTAGATGAAATTATCTAAAAGTTAATCGATTATTGTATGAATATCATGTGAGAAAATATCATTTTAACTGAATATCAAATTAAATTGCTTATTTTTTTTTGCAACAGTGGTGAAAATCATTTAAAAATTTTGAATCTATCGTAAATGCAATTACTTAAGGTTGTGACAATGTTCTTAAGTTAGATGTGCTCAATCTTGATCTTCAATTTTGAACAATCTATCTCACTATATTAAATGTCAAGTTTTACAGACAAGAAAAATGAGTGGATAGGGTGAAAGGAAGAGGGCGAGATAAATGGTGATGAAAATAAATTATATGGTATTGATTTTAGCAGATTGGTCACTATTGCACCTATTAAAGTAATATTATAGGTACTCATATAATGATTGATCAACATTCATACAAATTTATTTTTGAATTTTTTTTACACAAGCAAAAAAAAAGTCAATTTCTATTTAAGTGTCAACTAAACAGTCAACATTTAAGGGATTTAATGAATTGGTCACTTTTGCACTAATTCTGATAACGTATGTATATTTTTGCTCCTGGCCAATGACTTTGTGGGTATTTTTATCCCTTTTTTAGTCCACATCAGCAACGACTGACACGTGGCATGTGTAACATCCTGATTTTTATATAATAAAGAAATTGTGGAATTTAGGTTTTGAGGGAAAAAATGATAATAATAATAATTTATATAATTTGAGGTTATTTAGAAATAATATTATGATTAGGTATTTAATTATGAATTTAAAAATTTAAATTTAAAACCACATAAGCAATATTTAGTTAAGATATAATACATAAATAATTTTTTTTATGTGTGTGTTAAAAAAAAAGAGAAGGTAGAAGGAACCAAAAAAAAGGGGGGGTGAAAGGTTGTTGTTTTTAAGTCCCACATTGGTTAGATGAGGGAAGAGAAGAGGTGCCTTCATGTATAAAAGGGAGGGAGTGTGTGCATTAGGAAGCATGAGAGGCTAAGATGCAATTTAGAGGAAATTGCAACTTTTGGCCTAAAGGTTTGAATAATTAAATTCAAACCTATAGTTTTTTTTTAATATAATTTTGGGACTCACAATCCTATTTTTATATTATTTTTCTCTCTTCCTCTCATGTTGCTCGGCGTTTTCTCGTAAGGGGGGATTATTTTCTTTTTCTTCAGGTATGTTCTAACTTTCCTGTTTAGATTAGCATTTAAAAATTTATTTAATTATAAAATTAATTTTATAGTTATTTTCTAAATAATATTAGTTTTCTAGTGATATGATTATTTTGTAGGATAGAGTAAATATTTTGATTAGGATTTTTCTATAGGATAGTTAATCTGATGATATGATGGATTAAAAATATAGGTTAAAACTCTTAGGGATATAATAAATATTATAGAATATTTTCTTGAGGTTGAAACTCATGTTTAAGAATTTTTGAGTTAAAATCTAGATCTATATGGTTGAATTTATGTGAAATCTGAGATGTAGGGATAAACCTATGATTATTAAATATTTATTTAAGTATGAATACGTATTTTTGAGGTTATAGAAAGGTAATTTGAGGCTTCAGGATAATTTTAAAATTTAATTTATTTTTGGATGAATTTTTAAAATATAGAATGATGAAATTGTGATACTAGAAGTGATTTGAGGATAAAAAAAATAGTTTATTAGAGTACGAGAATTTTAGAAAAGAATTTGGGAAGTTAAATGAGGCATAAATCTTAAATTAGTGTTAATATGGATTATAGATCTAAGACTTTCTAACTATTTAAATTAGAGTTATTTATTTTAATGTAAAATTAATATATAGTATTGTGAAATAATTATGTGGATTATATTGACAAAGATAGTGGTGAAAAAGGAGTTGTGAAGGGGAACTTGTTATTCAAGACACAAGGTAACCATTATTAATGTGTTGTGATGGGTGTGTTTGTGAATGGTTATATGTTGTTTTGTTGTTTGGAAAAATTATGAACTATTGAAAATAAATACTGTATATATACTTGTTTGAAATTATTGCCAAGTGGGTTAAAAATTTATTTTTGTTTATCATGATGAGCTATTATTGTTCGGATATATTTCTGTTTGGATATTTGAATGATGCATGACTTGTCAGGGTATTTTAATATATGGTGTTAATGGGAATTTCTGTTCGGTTAATTATTACCACGTGGTAAGCCCTCATTGGACCCAATGAGTGGCGTGTCGCTTGGTCCAACTCACCTTTGGCCGGGTGATTTGGAGTCCGAGCATGGTGAAAGGAGGATATAAGGTGCAGTCATGCAATTAAATACTTGTTCGGTTTGTTTGAAAATATTGTTCGGTTAAATGTTTTGTGTGCCTACTTAGCAATCGCATGATTAGTTACATCCGCATGCATCATTACATATTAATTTTTGGTTACTGGGACTTTTAAGTCTCATTCCCCGTGGTTAATATTTTTACAGGAGCGAGTCCGGCCGAGAAAGCACCAGAGGTGTAATTATGGTGTATGAGACACCATCTTTTACGTTGCCTCTTATTTTGGATTATACAATGTATCTTGTGCCAACTTAGGACATATCTTGTCTATGGAGCATGTAAACTCTAATCCTTTTTATTAAATGCATTTATATGTCCAAGAGAATTATGTCTGTCCCTTTTGATTCATGACCTAATTTAAATAACATGCTATGAGGATCATGTCTGTCTCTCATGGTTCTAATTGCTTTTTGAGATATTTTAAGACCTGTGGTATATTGTCTTGGATGTATCATGGTAGAAATTTTTCTACCATGATAAGGGTATGATAAGGGTTCAATGAAAAAAAAATGATTTCTTGAATTAATAATTTATGAAAAATCGGTTTGTAAATTTGAGGGTGTTACATATTGGTATCAGAGCATCATGTTTCAAGCCTCTATTTTAGTAATACTTATTTAAACTTTTGTTTGAAACTATTACTCGTGTGAATTTAATATGTATTTATTATGTGTGGTGCATTGTATATAGTTGGTTGGCAATATACATTGTTATGGTGCTTCTCATTGTATGGCCATTATATAGCTAGGCTAATTTTATTATTTATATCTTGTATCCTTTAGGAGGGGAGAGAAAATGCATGTTACTCGCAATAACTTAGGATCCCAACATGAGCACCCACCACCTCTACCGCCAAATGAGGAGCCTGATTTGGCAGAATTGAGAGTGCTTGTAAAGACGTTAACAGACAAGGTTCAAAAATATGAACGAGAGTTGACGAAGTTAAAAAGACAAAGTTCGTTGAGAATGGAGATAGGGCTCATGTTGAGAGTCATGTAGGGGAAGTCAGTTCCTCACATCCTACCATTCTGAGGGATTATGAGCTTAGAAGGGAGGAGACTAGGTAAGAGGAACAGAGAGCCCCACCGACCATTATTGATGTGTGGGAAACTGTTAGGAAGTTTAACCCTCCCACGTTTAATGGTAACCTTAAACCATCTGTGGTAAAGGAATAGGTGAAAAGACTCGAGTCCATCTTTTGAGTAGTCACATACACCAATAATTAGAAGGTGCAAGTAGCATTAGTGCTTCTAGTAAAAGGAGCAAGAGATTGGTGGGAGATAATGGGACTCAAGGATAATTCAACACTCACATGAGAGGAGTTTAAGGGAAAAAAAATTGTTCAGGCATTACTTTTCATCAAAGTTAAGGTCTGAGAAGGAAGCTGAGTTCCATGCTTAAGCAAGGAAACCTATATGAGGACACATTCATTGCTAAGTTTCAGGAGTTATCTAGATACTCCACATACTTGTAGTATAGGGATGATTCTGAATGGAAGGCCAAATGCTTATTGGAGAAGGCTAGACTAGAATTGAGGGAGCAATTGATCCGAGACTATGATGAAATGTGCATAAAATTGCAAGTAGTAGCTCACAGTAAGAGGGAAGTTGAGAGAGAGAAGAGGGGGTATTTAAATAGTAGACCCCCAACCTATCCCCAACCCATAGGAGGCATTATGAAGAAAAACCATCAAGGTTCGAGTAGCTCATGGAACCAGGGAAGGCAGAAGGGTCCATTTCAAAAGGGCCAAGGACAGAGGAGCTATCATAGTGGTTATCACGAATCATAGAAGGGCCCAACAGTATCTACCCCTGCTCCGAGTACAGTGAGCTCTCAGCAGTGCACTAAATGTG